ACTTGGAGGGCTGATCATCTTGGGAAATATGATTATGTGTTGTTCTGAACTATAACATCCATCCAACTGTAATTAAAAGAAATTCTCTTGCTGTTTTGTTGTGGTCACATCTTCTTACCTCTCTGATCTTTGAATTTTGCACACTTCCATTCGATCCCTGCGATCTACTGAACAAACGCTATCTTGAAAAAACAAACAAACAGAGGAGGTCGCGTTTTTGCACTGACTGAAACAACTTCTCCTTCACATTTTTTTTCTTTTAAAACAGACTGAGTTTTTCTTTTATTTACTTTTGAACAGTTCTACTTTATTCATGTTTGCATGTTTTGTTTCCTTTTTTCAAATTTTTTTTATTTTGTGTTGTTTATGAATGTGCTTATAAGTAAATTTGACTTGACTTGTTGTTGTGGTGTTTAAGTCTCAGTCAGAGTTACTTTTTGTGCTTGGAACACATGTGTTATGACCCCTCTGAGGTCTACAATGACTTACACCTCAGGGCCACGGTCATGGCTTTGCTGATTTCTGGATCTGTTTGGCTGATGATTGAAAGTGCAGCAGTGGGTATATCACATCACCATATTAATGATGTTTACCTCTAAGGGTCATTATGAAATACCTCTTTAAAGGGAACCTGTTATGGTCAGTTTTCACCACTGTATTTTTGTTCTTGGATTGGGCTGGAAGCTTTGAAACATTTGCAGTTTAAAAAATACAACTTATAGAGATTTTACTGGTACTCGGTGCAGCCCCTCAGTTAGTCTTCTCCCTGGAGAAAAGGCATTTTAACCCTCCCCCTCTTGATGATAACCCTAAACAGAGGTAGGTAGCCTCATGATCGGAAGGTTGGATGTTTGAATCCACCAAACGGCTACCCTGAGGTACCCTTGAGAAAGGTACCGTCTCTACACACTGCTCCCTGGACACTGGATTGGTAGCTGCCCACCGCTTCACTGAGTGAATGGGTTGAATGCAGAGGACCACAAAGTTTCCCACATGTGGGATTTAAAATTTAAAAAACTATCTTCTTGAAGGCCAAAAAGCAAATTTTTAGAAGAAAATGTGGATAGTTTATAATGCACATCAATTATATAGATTTTTTTGTTTCAAGACTACAAAGACTGGGAAGAAGAGTTTAATAAGTACAAACATTATGTAATCTTTTTATTATATAGTTCCAATGTACAGCACTTTGTGTCAGCTGTGGTTGTTTTAAAGTGCTTTGTAAATAAAGGTGATGATGATGTAATCTGATTACCTATGGTTGGAGTTAGGGTTGAGCTTCTCACTGGTGATAATTTAGATCACAGAGGGTTAAAACAGCTACTTTAAATTTTTACTTTACTTTACCAATACTGAAAACACGAATAAAAAGTATTTGTTATTGGTATCAACTGGAAGTTTTAAAAATAAGTTTTTGTAAACACTTAGAAAAAGGAAGTTCTTTGTAATTTTTTTTTAATATAGAGAAAATTCCTCCCAAAATCCAATGACTTTGGGAGTTAGATCAATGTTAGATTAGTTGGTGATTGTAAATTGGCAGCAGGTAGATGAATGAACGGTTCATTTAAAAATTAGACCCCAGACTTATGATGTAAATGTTTGTCTTTCTTTTATTGTACTATCTAATTTAATAAGTAAATATATTATAATAACTTTTATTTCTCCTGATTTGTTTGTATGGTTAGGTTAATAAAACAAACAAAACAAAACATTAACTATAAACATTGTTAAAAGGCTTTATTTAGTTTTAAATGCACAGTATTTTTATGAAGTCAAAGTAAAAACAGTTCACATCTATCAAAATCAATGCACTACAAAAAGGTCCTAAAGTGATGAGTGCAAGAGGGGCATTTCCTTTTCTATGATCATTATTATTATTATTTTTAAAGCTTTCCTACACTTGAGAATCGCCTTGCCCATTTTTTTTTTTTGCTTCTGATGATAATAAACAAACACACACGGTACAATTTAGATATATTAGACATCTAAACTGGACATGCTTTGCAGGTTGACAGGAGATGAACTGAAGAATGTAACAAAACACTTTGCATTTTACAGCTTTTCCAAGGCTTCAGTATCACTTTCTTTTTCCCAGCAGACAAAGGGATAACATCTCAGTCGCTGGAGTAAGGAGTCACCATGGAAACTTGGGGCTGCTTCAGGACACGAGCTGAGAAACCAATTACAAAACATCTGCTATGCTCCCAAAAGTATAATAAAACCCCTTAATAAAAAAAAAAACATAATGACTACTACTGATGGTGAGAAAATGCTAAGAGGGAGAATTGGTCACAAACATTTGTCTTCATCTTCATCATCGAATCTGCCGCCATCATTAACATCAGTATCACTGCCATCGACGATAACAATCCTGAGATGTTTGAGACTAAAGGAGTAAAGTTTCTGTGTTTTAGCAACATGATTAACACCAGTAAATGAACCAAACATGTAAACAATAACAGCTTCAGTCATGGACAATCAACTGAGGATAAGATATCATCAGCCTCTGTTCTCAGGTTACATAGCATGTGCATCATCTCTGTCGTCATATCCAGATGGTATCCCTCTAAGCAGATTTGGCTGATACTCACATGCTTGTATAATGATAATAAGCTGCTTGGAGACCTGCTCAGAGTAGATCAATAAGTGAAGCCAGTCGCCAATCAATGAAAACCCTTTTTCTAGTGCAGTCTGTGCTCTTTTGGGTGTTTTTCTTTTCAAATGTTTATTCATCATTTAAAAACAACAACAACAAAAAACTTAAACCAACTAGTGATTTGTTGAATTTTCATTAATTTGAGGATCTTTTTTTTTCTTCTGGTGGTCAGTCTCACCGTACACTGTGCACATTCTCGTGGTGTTCTGCTTTTGATACAGTGATGATGATTATTTTATGTATTGTTAACAATATCTTGACAACTTTATGATGGCGTCACAGATGAAATTAATGTTAGTTCATTGTGCCCACAGGATGAATCCTGGGTATTTTCAGGCCTAACCTCCAGGATTACTAGCAAATTAGATTTGATCTTTATTGTGGAGTGCTAAAGTGCTAAAGTCATGTTCTCTACTTGGTTGTCTGAGTGCTTGTAACTGGCTATAATATCATAGACCAGTCATAGTCTGTATATTTAAAGTCCCCACTCTCACCCACACACTCCTGCATTTCTTTTCTCTCTCGCTGCCTCCTAACATGCCTTCCCCCTTTCGTCTTCCATTATCTTCAGCCAACAGTACCAACATCCTTTTGGCCAGCAGCACTGGAGCCAGTCGTTAACCCTGACATCTACCAATCCATTATGGAAATCTTCTTTATGATTCCATTTATCCAGGCTTGGGACTGTCACTGGGAGTACAGCTTGTGTCCTGTTCACTGTTGGGTTGTTACTGGCTATTGGACATTTTGAGCATTTTAATATCACAGTGGTCAGCTTGCTTAAATTTATGTCCCTAATTAGCAACAGCCTTCATAGCTAATGGTAAAAGTGAGTTGATCTCCATAGGTTCCAGTGGTAAAATCCTAAACTTTAGAGCTTTAAAAAGCATGTTTAGAACAAGCAGTTTGGATAGTTTTACCGTTCATAACAACAATTATTTGCTAGTAGATGGTCAAATTAATCAACCATTTGTTAACTGGTAGATCTTAATGTGCAGCTTTACTTAACAGTTGTGCTGCAGCTGATAGCTTTTTGCTAGGCTTCATTTGCCATCAAGGGACCTTTTTACCATGTTTCCCATGTTTGTGCTTTCTGGATTACTGTTTATGAGATTATCTGAAAAATAACATGGCTTGCTGTTTGGAACAGACTGTCCAAGAAGTTTATGCTTAGGTTTTAGTCAGATTTCTATTCTTAAATTTTGCACCATGACTTTGCATTACACCTGTATAGTTTATGGATGCATGAGGTAGCTATCAAAGCTGAGGTGACATCTTATTCACCAAAATCACTTCTGGCTATGAAAAAACAAAACGATACTATCAAAACAAAACAAAAAAAGCCCCAGAAAAAACAAATAAAATACAAAACTAAACAAACCCCTTATATTGAGGCTGTGTCATTCGTGGATTGATGATGTCACAGCACATATGTCCATCTTTTACATACAGTCTATGTTAGCTAACTACAGTATGTCCTTCATTGCACTGGTAAAGCTCCAAGAAAGACAAGTCAGATCCTGCATCCCTATAAAAATCTGTTTGGTAAATGTTCTGAAACTGTTACAAATAGTACACGCTAATATAGATAAACTATTCATCTCCTTTTTGAAGTCATACCAACTGCTTATAAGCAAGGATTACAAATCAGATACTTTATTAAGATTTTACAAATGATAATGACATAAATATTTAATTAAACCTCTGTTTTATTTTGTTTGTTTTTTTTACTTTTGACTGTTTCTATTACATTGTAACATGAGTTATCTTCTGTCAATGGACACTTCATAAAAGTATATAAAAAAAAGGAATAAGGAATCTATGAAAAGACTTAAAAAGTCTCAGAGCAGCATAATAAATTGTCATGCTATCTGTCCCTGAAAATACCTAAATCCATTTATTTTTGCTTGAAGTGAGCTTCTGGGGAGATAATACATGCCATATTTACAAAGAAATTACTTATGTATGCATGTATATGATCTGTTTCCTCTCATATAGCATCTTCCATGTGCCAGCGTGTGTTATTTTTGGATTTTCCTGGTTTAATAAAGTGGTACTAAATACTTCCGGATGTGGCTTGTTAACGTGAATTCTTAAAGCAGTCACCTGGTTTCTTTTTAGTTCTGGTTCACTGGCTATATGCCGCTGAAAAGTGAAAAGGTATTGGTGCGTACAGTAGGGTGACGTTTCTCAGGAAGGCAGACAGGTGGGGAGGGGGTCAGCCTGCAAATACATGAGCTCTGTCCTGTCTTTACTCTAGAGGAAATCTATCTTCAGCTTGAGCCTCATAGAGGTTATCCATCCTTCGTAAAAACATGTAACTTTTCTTCACTGGTGGAAAATCATGGAGCTACAGGTGGAAAACCAAAGTCAGCCTTTCGCCACCAACACCATGAGGCTGCCAGCTAAAATCATCCTGGAAATGGGAGTAGATAACTTCATTTCTCTTCTAATATTTGGACTCATTTTCATTCTTGGTGTGCTTGGGAACACAATGGTCATAACCGTGCTGGCGCGCAGTAAACCCGGACAACCGAGGAGCACAACCAACATATTCATCCTCAACCTGAGCGTGGCTGATCTGTCCTACCTGCTCTTCTGCGTACCTTTCCAGTCCACCATCTACATGCTGCCTACGTGGGTGCTCGGAGCGTTCATTTGCAAGTTTATCCACTATTTCTTCACCGTGTCTATGCTGGTCAGTATTTTCACTCTGTCAGCAATGTCCGTGGACCGTTACGTGGCCATCGTCCACGCTAGAAAATCCTCCTCGATCCGGGTGGAGAGGCATGCCATGCTCGGAGTGGTGCTGATCTGGACACTGTCCGTGGTCATGGCAGCTCCCGTTGCGCACTACCAGAGCATCGTGGAGAGGGAGAACAACAACACCTTCTGCTGGGAGGTCTGGCCGGAACACCAGAGGAAAGTCTACGTGATGTGCACCTTTGTGGTTGGATACCTTCTGCCTCTCACTTTGATATCTGTCTGCTATGCAAAGGTGAGCGCGCACGAACCAGAGTCAATATGTGACCATGAATATACAGTGTAATAACGAATTTTCAAAGTGTTGAAGAAATGAATGCGTTAACTTGTTATTCAGATCGCATTTCTTTCTTTTAGTGTAAAAAATACTTCTTTTTTTTTAACAACAATGGATTGGTTTGTAAAAAAGGTTTAAGTGGTCCTTCAACATCTGCCCAGATGTCTTTCTGAAAATAAATAAACGTGAAATAATTTGGCAGCTCCTTGAAAACATTCACATGTGCGTTTTGTGTTTTCAGGTTTTAAATCATCTGCACAAAAAGCTCAAGAATGTCTCAAAAAAATCCGAGCTCTCCAAAAAGAAGGTTGGTGGAAGCAATTTTCTTTTGCTTCTGATTTCTCACTAAATTACGAGTCGTGATTGAACAGTTCGCTGGCTGAGAGGTTAATGTGCTCTTTAGGTACAGATAAAAATGCCTGCACTCTTGAACTCCATTTACAGCACTTATGTGTCAGCATAAAAATCTAGACTAAATTGCCCAGTGGGGTTCTGGTGATGCTGTGAAGTGTCATTTTATTGCATTTGGCTCAAAACTCGGCACTAAGCTATCCACTAACAATTCTTTTCCAATAATTTATACAACCTTGCTTCCAAAAAAGTAAATGTATAAAATCTAAATAAAACAATGTGCAAATTTTCTGCATTTATTCAGAAATCTTTATAGGCTGTCTTAGATCTTTTGGTCTAGATGACACTGTAGTAAAAAACTGACACAAATATTCAATTTACTGCATTGGCTCAGCAACACTTTTGGTGAAACAAACATGTGTGGAAGACTGGAACTACCAAAGCATTTAGCAATAAAACGTAAAATAAAATTTAAAAAAAAAGATTGAATAAAGATATAAAAGAAAAAATAAAGAAAAAAAATATGTCTGAAGTCTCGATGTGTCTCACAGCTGATAGATTAGTCAGTGCCTGTGTTTAATTTGGTATTATATCTCATGCAATTAATGGGTGGCTCCATAGTGGTCACCACATTCACCTAATATGCAAAAGATCCTTAATTTGAGACTGTGAGAAGGGGCAAACCCGTGCAAGCATTGCATCAGGAAGAGAATCAAACATGTGGATCCATCTGCTGTGATGACCAGAATAGGGGAGCAGGTGAAAGATGCTTTGCTGTCTGATGCATTTAAAGACATATTTTTATTAAGTTATTTGTTTATTTATGTTTGATTTTGGCAGTATTGGTCCACCATAGACTCTCTGGGTCATGTGCTTTTAATGTGCAGCGAGGCAAACTAGAAAACTTTCTTGTGGTTTGACCAATAAAAATTTAAAATAGTTTTTGGACGTCATGAGGAGAGAGCAAACAGCTAACAGCATTCCTGATAGTTCACATGGCATGGATAACATCTATGAAGGCACCATTATTGCTAAATGATACACAACGCTAGGACAACAGCTTCCATCCTGAAGCCTTATTTCAGCGAAAAAATTCCAAACTGTGTTTTGGGAATATTCAAACAGAATTGCTTCTGAGTATAAGAGTTAGGGTTTTAAAGTGCCTGCAGTAAAGACCTGACAGTATATAGTAAAGCATATAAACTCTACAGAGTGTTGTTAGAAGAAGAGGGGATTCTGTTAGGATCAAGTTTAAAATGAACAGATGTTTTTTAAAAGCAATGGCACATTTGATTGGTTGCACTTGTAAACTTTTAAATAAGTATAGTTTAAGTGTCTAATAAATATATTCACCTTTTATTTACATTTTACACATGTTCCAACTTTTTTGGAAATGTGTTCATACCATTATGTGACACGTGACCTGTGATCATCTCTTTTCCACAGACTGCTCAGACTGTCCTCGTGGTGGTTGTTGTCTTCTGTCTGTCCTGGCTGCCTCATCACATCGTCCACCTGTGGGTGGAGTTTGGCTCCTTCCCTCTGAACCAGGCCTCCTTCGTGTTCAGGATGGTGGCTCACTGCTTGGCCTACAGCAACTCCTCTGTTAATCCCATCATCTATGCCTTCCTGTCTGAGAACTTCAGGAACTCATATAAGCAGGTTTTCTGGTGCCGGGCGCCCAGTGAGTGTCCGCTGAACGAAAACAGAGACCCCCGCAGCAGAATGGAGACGGCACCTTCCACTAATGTCAGCGTGTCTTATAAAGGTCACGACTCTCAGATCAGTAAAATGCTTTGATGACACTGGCGGTGCATCCTGAGTACAGCCTGCCGGATAATGGATTTTTTAAAGGCTGAAACTACTGATATGAAAGTTTAACCAAGTCCAGAGTTTCATATATCGACTTATATTTGTATTTTGAAAGACTTTAAAGAGCATGTTTGATTTGGGTCTTCATTCCTCAATGTGGCACATTTGCATATCTCATGTATACACAAGAAGTAATCATTTTAAATGTCAGGAAATATTATCCCATTTCCTGCTCAAACAGATTACAAGAGGAGGAAAAAAAAATCTGTGTAATATATATAGTCTGTATATAAAATATGAACATGACTAAATGTCACCCACTGATTTGTGAAATCTCATTTTGAAGACTTGTTGTAAGTATCGTGACTGTCAGTGTTTATGATGCCAGAAGTGAGTATACGTTTGTACAGGATGGTGAAGAGTGAAGTTATCAGGTAACGCTAGCAAGATTAGCATCAATGCACTGGTTGCACAGAGAATGATTATTGCTAATTGGTACTAATTAACCAAAATACAAATATAATACTAAAACTTCACTCAACACAACAGCAGCATGGATTTCTCTGACTGGTTCTTTGCATAATTAATAGTGCTTTAATTCAAGTTAAATGTACTGAGTTATAAAATAACATTCCCATTACATTATCGAGATCAAAGCTATATTTCATACCACTTTTTAACCTTTTATTTTCTTTACTACTACTGAACATTTTGAACATGGGAGTTTATGGGGACTGAATCACTTCTGGACTTAGCATCAATGATACAGGGTGTATCTAAAAGAATCATTCAATTTCAAAAGGCAATATATTATTTTTAAGTAATGGATATAGAAACTTGCATGGTTGAATATAAAGTTTTACATACCAAACTTACAATGTTCACAAGTGTTCAAAGTGTCCTGAGAGTCAAACTTGTTCCGTACGTTTGTGAGGATGTCACTGCAGCCACTGCTGTTGTTATGATGTCTACTGGCAACTGTGTGAAACTCACAAATCTCCTCTTTCTATCAGTGTGTGTTTCGATTGTTACTGGTGAACAAAGATTAAAGCACCATGAAATTATAAGATGCTTTTTGATACACCCACGAATTTAGGAACTACATTTTTGGCACTTCCTATTGGCTTAATTTTCAGCCCCAGAGATGGCTGCCTTGTGAATATTTACCAGGATCAGTCAAAAGCTGTTGGACAGAAGCTTCTAGATATTGCTGGAAGATCCAGTGATAATTGTTATTTTGCCCAGCTTTAGATGATTAGTTTACAATTTAACTCTGTCTGCCTAATGGAATGTACAAACTGTACAGGTATACCAGAGATATATGCACGTAAGTGATAACGGTAAATGGACTGGTTCTTGTATAGCGCTTTCTACTCTCACTGAGCACCCAAAGCGTTTTATACAACTCATGCATTCACCCAGTCACTTCGCATTCACACTCCGATGGATGCATCGGAGGGCAACATGGGGTTAATATCTTGCCCAAGGATATGTGGCATGTAGACTGGAGGAACTGGGATTGAACCACCAACCTTCTGGTGAGTAGGTGACCTGCTCTACCGCCTGAGCTACAGCCACCACAAATGCAATAATGCATCATTTAAATCACATTGTAGATAACAGTTCTGCTCTCAAAGATCAAAGGTGAAGGTTAAATATAGTCTCACCTGAGCTGCCACAGACCTTAAGTTTCTCTGTAATCTGTGGCTTCCTGTGTGTTTTGAATGGATTATCCAGTGTGTGTGTGTGTGTGTGTGTGTGTCTACCTGTTGTGTAGTCTGTTTTTGTTTAGGGGGAACTTAAAGGCAGTGTCTTTGTGTGAAGCGTTTTCACTGAATGTGCGGAAACTATGTGCACCAACTGCAAGCAAAGAAATGTCTAAAACCAAAATGTGTAAGTGTACACATACAGTATGTGTGTTCAGATTGTGCAAAGACATGAATAATTTATGTTACAAACCAATAAACTCTTTTTAATAGCTCATGTGTGCATGAAACATGTTTGATGTCATGAATTTGCTCTGATATAACCAGAGCAGCACTGAACTTGCTTACCTGGCTTCTTTATTGCACAGATTGCATGCCGTTTCCTGTTTATCCCCCGGGCTGAATTTGATTAACTTTTGCAAACAGGTAACTGTGCATGCTCCTTTCTGCAGTATTGTCTGCCCTCTGCAGGCATTATTACACTGAAAACTGGGGCAGTGCAGACTCAAGTGCTGCCTTAGAAAAGAGATAAAAAAGCATTTGCACACAAATACAAACAATGCACACAGAGAATGAGGAGATTTTAGATCTAAAAAGTGGATTTGCTTTAAAGAACCAGTAAATAGATCACCTTTGGCGACAGTTTCCTTTAATGTGAACACTTCATTGGTAGTTATACAATTTTGCTTCTATTGTTCTGCAGTGTACATGATGTCCTGTTGCTGTGACTGCGAGTTAAAGCAGGAACACACTTCAAGTAGCAAATACTGTTCAGAATACAGATGACAAACTTGTGACTGTCAAGTCTAAATTTATAGTAATTTAACAATAAATACATCTAAATATATTTATCCCATTTTATTTAGTTTCATTTCATTTCATAAAAACTCTTACATCATGTGGTCGACTGCTCCCATAAACAACTGAATGAAACATTCACTTTATAAGGTTGATCAATAATAAATACAAAATTCCATCCATCCATCCATTCGCTTCCGCTTATCCTTTTCAGGGTCGCGGGGGGCGCTGGAGCCTATCCCAGCTGTCATAGGGCGAGAGGCGGGGTACACCCTGGACAGGTCGCCAGTCTGTCGCAGGGCCAAAACACAGGGACAGACAACCATTCGCACTCACATTCACTCGCACATTCACACCTAGTGGCAATTTGGATTATCCAATTCTCAGGTATACAAATACAAAATTATTTTTGTACAAAATAATACAAAATTACTTTTTATAATTACAAATTTTTACAGTATTTAGTACATCATTTACTTTTGTACAGTTTTGTGGCTCCACAGTGTCGTTAACACATTTACTTGGTAACCAAAAGGTCTCCTATTTGATTCCTATAATTTTGAGGTACTTTTACTGTAATTGATCTCCACTCTGAGTCACTTTTGGTTCAGTCTTTTTCTAATTGTGCTGTCATGAACTTTGTTTGTTTTTTGCAGTATCTCGGAGCATTGGCGGGTCTGACCTTGGCTTGAATTTGTTGGACCTAGATTGCGGGGCTGTGTTAATGCTGAATACTTCAGACCAGCAAAGTGCAAACACTTCTGCTTTTTTAGTGGTGGTCACACTTGCTTATCTTCAATCAAGCACTTGATTAGCAGCACCTGACTGTGACTTACCCATGTAATTCTCATAAATACGAACACGAAATGGTAAATTTTATTCCTTCTTTCATGATTTGATATTCTTTACTGTGGTGTTATTCCTGAAGATAACCTAGAACATAAAGTATACAGACCCAAATCATCATGTCTGATGACTCATTTCACTCTAATCATTTTTTTCATAATGGACTCTGTTATGTAATATGCTCAAATGATGCTCATCTTATTTTCCATTAGCTGAAAACTGAGTTAAAGGCGCAGCGTCACAGTGAGGGAGGATGATGAAGAGCTGGTTTAACTGCAGGTCCCTCAGTTATGTGAAGAAAAAAATATATATCTCAGCCTAATCCCCCGAAGAAAATGACTGCATCTGAGGTCTAAAAAAATCTGAGGATGAAAGGACACGTTAGTAAAGGAAAATGTAAGAAAACCGATTTTCCTGATGTTAATTAAAAAGCTGTTTTAACCTCAGTTGAACAGCAGAGGTCAGGCTTACACAAGTGTTGATATTCAAGCCGCTCTTTCTCTGCTCTGTTTAATTTGCATCTTCTGCAAAAGTATTCTCTGTTTAAATTTAATATTTCTGGATTTTTAAAGAGCAAATTTTAAACATTTGGGATAAATAATAATTTAAGAATTTCAATCAATCAGATTATTTTGGTGGGTACTTGTATTTTCTCCTTTCTACTCCATCTAAATTAACTTTAATTTCTCTGCTGGTTGGAAATTCATTTCTAGATCTTGTATGCTAATCAGATCCTGAAGCCTCTCCCATTTGTCATTTCCCCTCTGTGGCAGCTGACTCCTCTATCCCTCCCCTGAGACTCCCACCCAGCCTATTGAATGTGTCATAAATAATAAGGGCTAATTAGATATGAATTGATCGTCTATAGGTCGCAGGCATTTTCATCCATCACTCTAAAAGCTGTTTAACAATAGATTACCTCCAAATAATCCTCCATGGAGCAGGTGAATGGGGCGGTGGGCCATTACAGCCTTGTTTAGTACGGGTCGCAGTTGGAGTCATAATTCTCCCGAATAATAAATATTGCCTTAGTCTGCTCTTTCACTGCTGTAGGTGGTGTTTTAATACAGAGGAGGATATGAATCATTTCACGATTTCACCAGAGGGTTTTAGGCTCCAGCTTAAAAATTTGTGATCATTTCCCTGTTTTTTTTTAAAAAAAAATGTTTTTGTGGATTTTTAAAATTATCGTTATTATTTTTTACTCCTGTTAGCTTCAAATTCTGGATTTTAGTCCTGTTTTATCTCACTGATACATTGTGTTGTATAAGATTATGCTCCAGAGAGAACATTAATCAGTGTACAAAAGAGCCTTAATGTGTCTTGAGGACAGAAGAGTCAAAACGTAGTTCAAAACTTGAATTGTCTTTTTTAAATGAATAAATAGAGAGAATGATTAGAAAACCTGTGTAAGTACCTATGGAAAAATAAACTCTATAGATCAGAAAACACCAAAGCTAACAGTGGGTAGTGGTTTAGTTTATAGACTGTATATAAAAGATGGGGACAGCAACACCAATGTGCCTTAAAGCTGCGTTCTGACTCCTCTTCTTGCACGCTGAAGTCCTGGAGTAGAGACATCTCTGGGGAAAAGCTGGGTATGATTTGGTGTGCAGCTACTCTCAAGATGTTAAATCG